GGTCTTGTTTCAATACTTTATTTTACATTCAAATCACTTTTAGCAAATGGTATTGGGCCAAATATAAAGTATTTTAACAAATCATCATTCTCATTATTTATTGGTGTTGCAATTTTTGCATTTGAAGGAATTGGTTTAATTTTACCAGTTCAAGAATCAATGCGAAATCCAGAAAAATTTCCCTTAGTTTTACTCTTGGTAATTTTATGTTGTTCGGTACTATTCTCTTTAGTTGGAGCTCTTTGTTACCTGACATTTGGTGATCAAGTTCAAACTGTTATTATTTTCAATTTACCACAGGATTCAATAGTGGTTAACTTGATCCAATTATTTTATGCATTAGCCATATTATTATCTCTGCCTTTACAAATTTTCCCAGCAATTAAGATTATTGAAAATAGGATTTTTGCGAAAAATTTAACAGGTAAGTACGATATGAAAATAAAATGGTTGAAAAATTTATTTAGAACTCTGTTTGTTGTCTTTACTGGATTCATCGCATACTTTGGAGCTGATAACTTGGACAAGTTTGTTTCATTTGTCGGATGTTTTGCCTGTATCCCATTGGTATATATGTACCCTCCTTTGTTACATTACAAGTCGGTCTCAAACACTTTCAACATGAAATGTTTTGATATCTTCTTGGTTGTTCTAGGAGCTGTAGCAATGGCTTATACAAGTTATCAAATCATTTTCGAATGAAAAAAAAAAAGAGAAAGCATTTTTATTTATTCATTTAAAGTCAAAAACTTATATATAAAAAAAAAAAAAGGTATGTTATTTACGGAAAACATATAACAAAATAATCAAGAACGAAACTTTAATAAATCATCTGCATTTCATAATAAAGAAGTAAAGACTCGTAGTTGTAAACTATCTTTCTACCATTTGAACAAGTATTGATTGTAATCTTCTTATATTTCGTGGTTAATGTGCACTTTTGTAATTTTTTTTTTTTTTTTATTTTTTTATTTTTTTCTTTAAATATTTAATATACGAACTGCTACTGGTTATGTTTATTCATCAATGCCTTTTATATAATTGATAGTATTTAGTGATCAAATATTTTATTTTATAATGGCGGTATCGAAGAGATCGTTTTATTCTGATGATGAACTTACAACATCGATTCCTGGCTTTGTTGAGCAGGAGATTCCAAAGGATTTAGAAGAAAAAGAATCACCACATTTGGCCAATTCCGAGATTTCAATTTTTGAAGGTATGACAATTAGATCACCTCTTTTTTTACAACACTATGTTACTTCAGCAAGACAATTTTTACATGAGAAGTTATCATCTCTGGAGTTGGAATATCAGACTTCGAAATCTGCTTTGCAAAATGAAATCAGGCAAATTGAAACAAGTTTTCGAGAAGTTGTTGTTGAGCCAACATTACCAAATATAATTTATATAATAACCAGTGCATTGACAGGATCAATATTGGTCAATAGACGTTCTTTACCAGTAAGGTTTATAACTCCAGTTATATTTGGTACTGTTGCATACAAATTTTCAATGCCAGCGTCTTACAACAATACCAAAAATTTACTTTCTGAATATGAGAAAAATTTCCCAGAAGTTTATGAAACTCATAAACAGGCAAATCAAAATATTGATCAATTCAAAGCAGAATTTGAAAAAACAGCTAATGATGCTAATCAAGAATTGATCAATTCTGTTGCCAAAGCTAGGAAATATTTAAAAGATATCACTAGTAGTGATATCTCAAAAGATTAATGCTTGTCTACTTTTTAACAATCCAATGAAAACATTTAAAATCCAAAATCCAATATTCGTCCTTCATATATATTTAGAAAAGGAAAAAGAAAAAACAAAACCCAAAAAAAAAATCCAAAAATGAAATCAAGTTTATATATATATATATTGAACGGGTATAATGATCTTTTTTTTTTTTTTTTT